CCCCCCCCCCCCCCCCCCCCCCCCCCACTTAAACAAATCAACGGGAAAAGGTTAAATTTGTCAAGCAATAAAGATTTCCGTCAATAGAATTTCACAAATGCAATATTAGAAACAAATGAAAGCAACTACTTGAAGCATAAAAAATCAAATACCACCAACATGTAAATCAACTTCCATCACACTTTACCTGATATGGCCTTCCAGATTCAATGTTTACATCAGAAGATATGGTAGGGATTTCTTGGAGGTTTGGATCTGTTTCCAATTCGACAGAAGAAATTATTTCAAGAGATGAGTTTGAGGAACCCCGTTCTTCATCCACCTCCGTAGTGGGGAGGTTTGTACAAAATTCAACCATTTCCAACGTCTTTTTTGCCTTCTCCTCCTCCTTGACTTCATACTCTGGCATAACGATCTATGTAAAAAGAATTCGGAGATAAATAAATAAATTTTGCACAAAGATATTTAAAAAAAGTTAATTGTGCAAGAATACAAAGTGCACCAATGTGCAATAAGTGTGAAAAAATTGTTATGAAATTCGAAATGTGTGATCAGAAACCCACGAGCTCAAACTCATCGTCACTTGACATATTTCTTTATTTCTAGCAGTCGTGGAATCTCAAGAAACTTTCCTTAAACTGACATAATTGTGTCATCACGTCGTCAATTGCAATAAGTCGACGCAACTCGATTGGCTGCTGACAACGAACCAATAGGTGTTGAGCTGTGAGTTAGGTCAAAGGTCCAATCAGGTGATCGGAATGAGCGGACGTACCCAATAGGCGATTTTGACCCCAAAAAGTTATTCAGTGTCTTTAAGTCAACACGGAGGGGGCCCTTCTCGCACTCTTGTATCTTGGGAGATGATTTATAACGTCTAGATAATTATGTTCCCTCACTCTGAGGCTCAAGTAGAAATGACCTGTCAATACAGTCACTTAATGTTTAAATAGATAAATCCTTCACCTCTTACTTCCAGTAATTTGCATTCAATTTAAAGGAATAAGTTCTCCAAGCCCACTCTTAAATTACACAAAACGACTTCTTCGAAGGCATAAAGACCACACAGAAATGAGTGGAAAAAAGATTTGAGTAGTTCTCAGGAGATTAGCATATTTGTGTCTTGAAAACACCACGATTGGAGATATTTGCGATGTTAAAGGGTTAGAGGCAAATTTCATTAAATGCCGTTGTACAAAAGTTTGTATAAATTCGTTTATTTTTTCCCACGAGATCACAAAAAATTCATAAACCCACTTTTCGCTTAATTGGAAGTGAACAAACAAACGCGTAAATATCGGACTTGAACTTCCCCATTTGCACTATAAAAGGAGCGAATATTTACTTTAAACCACTTCAAAACACGAAACAAAAACGAAACTTCTGCTCAGAATTAGTTGTCAAAAAAATGTGAAATGAACAGAGGTGCACAAAAATTTAGTGTTTGCAATGTGGAATTTTATATGAAATCTGAAACTCGATAATCTTTTAAGCCAAAAAGATCCAGCCAAACAGCAAGTTAGTTACTCCAAGATGTAATCTCGTAGATGATTTTCGTGATAATCGGCATAAGCCCCCATAAGTGTTCTAATTGAAAGTCAGAATGTGGCCTTCAGATTCAGTTGAAAGTACGAAATCCAATATGCCCTTGGAAGAAAAATATCGAAAAAATAATAAAATGAAGGAACAGATTTAGGGGCTGACAAAATATTAAATTATGGAAAATAAGATTCTAATTTATTTTTATTCAGGCGGCTTCAAAGTCTCCTAAATGAATACTTTAGTTGTCAGTGAAGGGGTGTGCGGTAGACTCACCTCCTTATGGTGCACCCTGGGCAACGTATACTCATACGGCAAGAAAGTCTATTAATCGGCAGTTGACTTCTCACTTCAAACTACTATCACCCCATTGTATGTCATATTCGACCCCTTTCACAGTACTCATCTAGCCTTTTCTCTGCCTTTGTGTCTGTCTGTCCCTTTTACATTTGTGAATCACTCTTCTACTTTTTGGCACTTTGTTGTTCCTACTCATTTTCTTAAAATCCCATGGGATAGGAGTTTACTCCTTTTTCATATTGACCGTGTCAGCCTTTATAACCTTCCCGATTAGGGTCAGAAATTTAA